GAAAGAGCTGTAGGTCGTCTACCCAAACCTCGAAGTCAACAGCACGACCCTCAGCATCAAAGGTAAGAACAGTAGGGCTAGCCATAGCGGCAGAAGCAGCAGTAGCAGCAGTAGCAGCAGTAGCAGCAGAAGCAGCAGAAGCAGCAGGGGCAGGGCAGTGCGGCTCAGTAGGGCGGCGCGGCTCGGTAGGGCGGCGCGGCTCGGCTGGGCGGCGCGGCTCGGCTGGGCGGCGCGGCTCGGCTGGGCGGCGCGGCTCGGCTGGGCGGCGCGGCTCGGCAGGGCGGCGCGGCTCGGCTGAGCGACGCGGCTCAGCTGGGCGGCGCGGGTGCTTACCAGGGGCGGGTGCAGGGCAGGGCCGCAGCTGGCGATTAGGTCAGGGCCGCGACTGGGGCGGCAGCAGGGCAGGGCCGCGACTGGGCGGCGGTAGAGCAGGGCCGCTACTGGGGTGGCTGCAGGGCTGGGCCGCAACGGTGAGGCCGCGACGGTGAGGCCGCGACGGCGGCTGCAGGTGCGTCAGCGGCAAGGCAGGGCCGCGACAGGTGCTGCAGGCGCGACGGCGGCTGCAGGGCAGGGCGCGACAGCGGGGCCGCGACGGTGGCAGCAGGCGCGTCGGCGGAGAAGGGAGGGCCGCGACAGCGGCTGCAGGTCAGGGGCTGCGACTTGGGGCGGCAGGGCAGGGCCGCGATGTAGGGCGGTAGGAGAGGGCCGCGACGGGCGGCAAAGCAGGGCCGCGACGGGCGGCGGATTAGGTCGCGACGGGCGGCGACAAGGCAGGGCCGCGACGGGCGGCTCAGGCAGGGTCGCGACTAGCGCGACACCAGGGCAGGGCGCGCGACGGCGTAGGAGAGGCAGGCGCGACAGCGCGCTTCGGGCAGGTAAGAAAGTTTCAGTGGTGGGCACTTAAAAAAAAACGTTCCTACGAGGGAACCTGCTCTGATACCATGTTAGAATGAGAACGAAGGAATGACTGAACTAGAAAGCAAGTGGGTACAAGTAGGAAACCTAAAAGTGTTGTACCCTATATGAACTACCCCACTACAGCCTACACAGACTATAGCATAAATTTTTGACATTCTCTACGGACCTGTCGATGCTGAGATCTTCGTCGAGCAACCACACGGCTCCAACGCAGACCCAAACCAAGTCTGTCAACTGCTGAAGTCTCTGTATGGCATCAAACGAGCTCCGAGGCTGTGGCAGCAGTACCTACACGCCCGACTCATCCGCATTGGATTCCGCCAGCTACCGCACGACCAGGGCATGTACCGGCTCACAAAAGGCACCGACTACATTCTTCTCATCGTCTATGTGGACGATCTGCTCTACATCGGCTCGACCGACGGCGTCACGACCTGGTTCGAAGGGGAGCTGCAGCAGGACCTCACGGTTTCATCTACCGTAACGCAATACCTCGGGCTCAACATTCAAGAAGAGGAAAACGCGATCTATCTCAGCACGGCGAAATACGCGGACACCATCGCTAAGCGCTTCGGACTCAACCCAACCGCTATCTCCACGCCATATCGTTACACCGCCGGAAATCACAAGGAAGTCTCCGCTCTACTCAAACCCGCCGGCATACGCGACTACCAACGAAAACTGGGATGTCTGCTCTTCGCAGCCGTCACTTGTCGACCGGACCTCTCGTACTCCGCAAGCCAACTCGCTACCTACCTCAAGAAACCCGAAGCAGAGCACATGGCGGAGCTCGACCGCGCACTGCACTACCTCGTCAGCACTCCAACGATCGGTCTAACCTACCACAAGACTGGAACCACGACGCCCAAACTAATCGGCTACGTCAATGCTGATCACGCCGGCGACTCTGACAATAGGCGCTCACGCACCGGCTACATCTACAGACTCAAGCCTATCGGGCCTATCTCGTGGCAGTCGAGCAAGCAAGAGCTAATCGCTCTCTCCTCAGCCGAAGCAGAATATATCGTACTCTGCTCAGCCACCAAGGAAGGATTATACCTTCGCGAACTACTGGAAGAGGCGAAACTAGCCCAGTTACCCAGCTTCTCCCTGTTCTGCGACAACCAGTCAGCAATTCGCATCGCCAACAAGAATGGATTCGCGAACTGGACGAAACACATTGCCTTGCGATATTTCTTCGTGAAAGACGAGATCGAGAAGGGGAGACTCGAGCTGTCCTATTGCCCCACGTCCGAGATGGCAGCTGATTACCTGGCCAAGAAACTCGGAAAGCAGAAGTTCGAGTACTGCATGCTGCTGACTGGACAAGGCCACGTCACCAGCAACGACACTCCAGAAGCGAAGGGGAGTGTTGGAAACAAGTGACTTAAGCGCTTCTGATGTGTCGAAACACTGAACTGCAAACGAAGCAAACTACAACGAAGCAACGGCGAGTCAACCATCGGAGGTTGACAAGAGAAGTAACTGCTGGAGGTTACGCGAAGGTCAAAGGTCAGCGACCTTTGACTTGACAAATACAGCGCGACAGCAAGGACAAACAACTGACTCGATACTGAGCAGTTGCCCGAGTCGTCACTGTATCGAACCGCAACAGCAACAGTAAAACAGTTATTAGTTGCACCCTTTCATATTCCTTGTAATCTTATAAAAGGCTTGTATTACTTTCTTATAATTAATCTATCTTGCCCTCACATACTAGCGCAAGGTGGTTCAACACTTATTATTAAACGCTTCCACAACTATAACACTTCTACTCAGAATTTAGCCTTGTAAAGATCCTAAGGGCTTTTCTCAGCCCAACAGACGGCATATGGAAGCGGGGACGCAACTTCGTCCCCAGGCAAAATTCCCTCCCCAAGCTATGCCATCGCCATCCCCCGTTTTTCAAAGGACAGCCATGGCACAGCCGTTGCATTGCCGTTCAGAGCCATTGGGGGGAAGGTGGGGATGGGGGTTCTTTATGCGGTTGCGTAATTTCGCCTTTCGGGCGCAGAAGTTTCTCGAGTGGCATTACGCCCAAACCTCGGAGGTGGGTTCCGCCTCCGTTTCCAGATGCAGTCGCGATGCCGATGCCATCTTTTTCATTTCAAATTACGATTTGCTGGCGAACAGCACCATTATGCTTCTTTGCCCCCCATCTCACCCACAAACGGGTAAGCAGCACGCTGCCATCACTTTCTCAGCAACCAGTGCCCTGCCCACGCATTTGGGGGGTGAACCTTGCAGAGTCGAGTCGAGATGGGAGTTTGTCGATTGTCGTTGTCCATTTCGCAAATGTGGTGGGAATGGTTCCGAGAAACACGAGCGGTTGAGTGCGGTGGCACTGACAAGCCCAAGGGTCTCGTGCTGTTGGAGTCCCTGGTCCCTTGGGTGACTAAAGTCGAGTCGGAGATAGAGATTACCTAATTAGTAGCAGGCTCAACAACGCGAGCAGCCAATCATATCTTTATTCTCTTCCTTTCACAATGTCAGCCGGGTCGCCGATCCAGCGGTTACCTGACGAGCTTCTTTCTCGAATTTTTCATTTTCTGGTTCGAGCTGATGGTCAACGGCTTGAAACGTCTCCCTCTGGCGCTTCTTGAGTTGCCGCGACTGCAGGTGTTGGAGGTGCGGTCATGTGGAGGGCTGGTCGCGGTGCTAGGGGATGAGAAGGTGCATCAATCTACTACCGGTGGTTATTTGCCCGACAGCAGCAACAGCAGCAGCAGCAACAGCGCGCTGCTTCCATCGCTTGGGAGGCTGAAAATTAGGTCTAAAGATGTGGAGTCCTTTGGTCCATCCCTTGGTCGCCTGTCCTCACTGACGCAACTGAAGCTCCTGGGGATGAACAGACTTGATTATCTCCCTGACTCCGTCACTCACCTCTCGCATCTGCAAAGGCTCAAGGTTGATTCGTCCTTTAATCTGAAAGCACTGCCCGAGACTCTCGGAAGGCTTGCAGGGCTGCGTGTCTTGCAGCTGGTTTACCTCATCTCAATGCGGCGGCTGCCCGAGTCTCTCGGGCAGCTGAAAATTCTTGAGACGCTGGATATCATCGATTGTTACAAGCTGAAGCAGCTTCCAGAGTCGTTTGTGAATCTATCCAAGCTACGGTCCTGCACTCTTGTCAAGGTCGGTATCTCCACCATTCCGGATGATTTCTGGAAGCTGTCTTCCCTCCAGAAGTTGCTGATTATGGGACTGAAGCTTTTGCGAAGATTGCCGGATTCGTTCACTCAACTGCCTAAGCTTGAGGAGTTGGAGGTGTCTGCATGCCAGCGGCTGACTCGGCTGCCGTCTTCACTTGGGAAGATGGCGATGCTGCGTGTGTGCAACATCAGTGACTGCCCTCTGCTCTCCCAGCGAGATATGAGAGGGGTGAGTGCAAGGAGATGTGAGGAGGATGGGGAGGAGGGAGACGGAGAGGGCGGGGGGAGAAGGGATGCGGAAGAAGATAGGGAGGGAGGGGATGCAGAAGAGGAAGAGGGAGGTGGAGACCATGCGGTGGTGGAAATGGAGGAGGGGGACGAGGAGGCATGGGAGGAAGAGACTGGTTGGTGGGACCACGATGACATTGAGCATTCATATCGCCATGACAGTGACAATGACATTGACTTCGTAGGAGGATGGGATGAGCTTCTTGACAACAACTAGGAGCAATAATAAGATCGAAGCTGGGTATTGGAATAAGTACCGGTACCGTATGAATGGAATGGAGGAAGGCTCAGATGGAAGATCAGGGTCTGAATTGTACGGTATGAAGAATAATTTGCTTTGCTGTGTTCATCTCACTGGTGCTAGAGCATGTTTTCACAATTGTCATCAGTAGCGAGCGCCTGTGTATCAAACAAGTACCGGTATGTGCAACAGACTGCCAATTGTTTTGTTTCATTTAGTCAACCTGTTTGCACCACTACGGATCAAACGAGGTGATGGGATCGCCATAGAAGCTTTGGTAGCGGTCTCACACAAGCATGATGGATCTGAAATGTCAGCACCCGCGGCTGGAATCGCTTGCGGCGTGGAAACCCAGCATCCCGCTCACTGTGACTCGCTTCCCCTGTGGAAGCAAGGCAGCGGCGCTACCAGTACTGCGTGGCTGCGAGAAGCGCGAAGTATGCGCAGACGAGGCGCTGCGATATGTAGACGAGGACGGCGAAGGAGAGCGAGACGAGGGTGATGTCGCGAATGTCGCCTTTCTGCCGCGGCGTGATGAATCTCAGCAGCGACTCCACTGCGCCCGCCACTCCGCCCTTCACCCCTTCCGCGTCCTCCGCTTTCCGCCGCCTGTTGCTATCGTCGGCCCCAGTCGGCCTCTTGTCCCCCGCTCCACCATCTCTCGTGTCGTCGTCCCTCGAGCCAGCCCCGCGTTGCCCCCTGCCGCCGCCGTCGTCGCCCTCTCCTTGCCGCTGCTCGGCCGAAACCGCGAGGCGAGCGCTTCGACGAGATGGTCCACCGCAGACAGAGAGCGGGCGAGAGGGCAGAACGAGGTGTAGCCGCGACAGCCGACTGCTCGAGTCGGGACGGGAGGACTGAAGCCGTGAGAAAGAGCGAGGTGAAGACGACGGGCGGTCTGAATGGCAGGCTACATGCGTATGAGAGCAGCACGTTTGCAATCTGCAGCTAGATAACGATGAAGCTGCCGAGTAATTCGTTGTCATCGCCATACTCAAACAAGTCAAGTGGAAACTGAAATACAGTATGGTTGGTACTGGAGGTACGTGAAGTGCAGCTTATTAGCTGTGAATATTGCAGCACGAACACGAAGCTGTTCGCACATATGTGCAAGGAGGAATCAAAGTGAAGGTTGCGGGAGGGGGAGGGGGTGGAAAGTCGAGGAGCAGGTATGTTTGACAAAAAGGGTCTGGTTTGGTTTGGTTCGGTTTAGTTTAGTTTGGTTTGGTCTGGTTTAGTTTGGTCTGGTTTGTTCGGAGGCTTGTGAAGGCGTGAGAAACAGGTAGGGTGGTGAGCGTGAGTTGGTGGTTTGGAATGCGAAGTTCGTTCCACAGCTCTTGCATGCCGAGCCTCAGCTCCAGGCGAGCGGGAAACGGAGTTGTCCAGGTGGGTTGTGATGTGATTCGTCAAAACTCTAGCATATGAGTCAGACATGCGTCCATCCAACCCCTCCTCATCGGGCTGCACAAATATCTCAGATGGGCACGTTCTTGTACACCATCAGGGGCTGTCTAATAATTATATATATACATATAAGGAAACCCGTCAAACTGTTGCATTAGTTAAAGCTCAAGGCCCAAATTGTGGGCCGCGCAGGGCAGGATTAGTAATCTTGCACACTTCTCGTTTTTTGTGCTGTATATTGGCGATAATATGGTTATCGTAGTTGCGATGCAATTTGATTGGTCGAAACAACAGTCACTGCCAAAAGATCAACTTTCACTACTCTGCAATTTGGGACTCGAGGTCCCCAAACGCACGTTCCCCCCTGAAGCTTGCTGACTCAGCGGAAAGACAAGTGTTGCGGCGAAATCAGACAAGTCAACAACCCCCACCCCCCCAGCTGTCAAATGTTATTATAGGTTCTTAGGCTACAGTGAGTAGCACTCTAGGGAGTACAACACTTTTAGGGATGCTATTTGTATCCCTTGCTTCTCTAGTTCAATCATTCCGTTGCATTCTACCGCATGGCCCCGGATATAGGCGCCGTCCGATTAAAGGCGCCGGCGCTACTATCTGGAGCATGGCGCTTATGGCTGTTCCTCGATTATAGGCGCACCCCATTTTGTACCCGTACTTATTATAAGCGCATACCTTTAACATTTTTACTATTTTTTAGTAAAACACTAACAATTAACATCTCTGAAAGCATTTCATAAGAAATCTAGCACCAACAATTATAACTACTACTTCGTACTCAATGAACAGGCGTTTACAAAGGCCTTTCTACCAAGGAACCAACTAGCTACTCCTCCTCGTCAGACTCGGGCTCCTGGCAGTTGTTGCCAAAGAAGCCATCGGCGATGATGTCGTCGTCGACATCCACTTCCGCGGTCAGTTGGGTCCGCCTGTGCGCCATGGCGAGGCCGTCCACGCTGCCGTCAAGCGCGTTGCTAATGCCACATGTGAGGAAGGCGCGCTTGATGAGGTCGGCGGGCACTGCCCTCCAGGCCCGCGAGATCCACCTCAGGACCTTTGCAGGTGGCGGCTTCTTGAGATTCCCTGAAACACCACAAAGAAACGATGGTGATTAGATCAACAACGGGGGGATTTTGCGGACGTGCATAGACAAAAACCAGTTTAATTCCGTACCTGCTGCCGTCAGCTGTTCTTGCCCCTCCACTTGAAACCACTTCTGGTACTGCTGACGGACGGAGGCCTTGAAGCTCTTGTTGACGGAGACGTCGAGGGGCTGAATCTCCCCTGTACATCCCGACGGGATGATCGCCGGCACGCAGTTCATCTCGCGGAACTTCTCCTTCACCCCCTCGGTGAGGTGTGTCAGAATGTGATAGTTGTCTAGCCTGCAGTGGGGTACTCTATAGCGAGTACAGCCCAAATTAGGGTTTCCTATATGTATTCAACTACCTGCTAGTGCAAACCCTCTTCTCTGTTTCATCCTTGATTCCTACTTTCTGACAAGGTGCCCGCGGTAGGAATCCAGAACCACCATGGAGGTCCTGGAGTGCCGATCGAAAGACGGCTTCAAGAACGGCTTCACACACTCGTCGAGCCAGCGAATGACGCCCGCGGCGTCCATCCACCCGTTCTCGTGGCACGCCACGACCACATCTGCACGATATACATCGGGTTGTAAAACAAGAAATTAGTGAAACGGTAAAGCAAAAACGTGTGCGACACACGTCAAACAAACCTCACTTACCAGGCGGAAAGTCGCCCTTCGGCATCGTCTTCCTCTTGAAAAACACCCACGGCTTGAGCTTGGCGCCGTCCGCCGTGCAGGCCAACATCACGGTCACGCGCTCCTTCTGGTACCCGGCACTCCTGATGGGCACCGAGCGAACGCCCGCTTGCTCAACGGTCGTGGTGGCGGGCATCTCCAGCCAGAGAGGCGTCTGGTCGGCGTTGATGATCCACGTGGTCTCGATGCCGCGCTCGCGTCGCTTGTCTCGAACGAACTGCAAAAAAATATTGCACTGCTTCGCGACATCTGCGAGACGGCGGGAGACAGGGCGAAACACACGGGTGCAATTAGTACATCACATGGTAAAGCACAAACACTTATGCAAACGCAATCTTACAAGCGGCGGTTTTCTGCGCAACCCTTGTCTTCATGCGGACGCTTAGATTCCAGCGCTTCCGAAACAGCTCCGACCGTTGACTCCCCTTCCACTTCTCGAGAGGGTAGAGAACCTTCATAAACTCCTTCGACCACTCCTGCAGGCGGCCCACCGACACGGCACTTCCTTTGCGGCGCCACTCGAGGAGTCGCTCGTACACCTTCATCTCCATCGGTCGGTACCACGACGATCTCCCGCGACCGTGCATCCGCTTCCGTGCGGAGTGAGCTTCCTTGAGGAATTCCGCTGAACTCTTCCAGTTGGAGAGGCACCTGCGGTGTATGCCGCTCTCGGGAGCCAAAGCACGCACCGAAACCGCCACCTGCAGAAGCGCGACGTACTTCAGTTTCTCGGCGGCGGTATAGGCTTGACGCTTGTGATTGTTGAGCTTATGCCTGGGAGAGGGGGGACGGGCATCACGCATCTGTGTAGCAGGGTGGGGTCGCTTGCGATTAGTAGGAGGGTAGGTAGGTATCGGCAACTTCTCTGGGAGCCCGTCGCGTGACCAGTACTCAACACCGTCGTCCTCGTCGCCGCCCGGCGCACCCTCGGGAAACACATCCTCAGCGGTGCCGGCTTCAGTGTCAGTCTCCATGCCACCCTCGGCGCCTTTGCCGCCCTCCTCGCGACTCTCCTCCTCAGCATCAGGGACATCGTCGTCAGCGCCGACAGCAGATTCGTCCCACGTACAATCGTCGGGCCGGCCCCAGCGCTGTCCTGGCACATAATCAACAGCCACATACTCATCTGTGAGCTTCTTGGACTCTGGTTCCGAGAGGTATTCGTCGAACGCCGATGGGAGCAGAAGCGAGAGCACGGGAGGATTGCCCGTGTGAACAGGAGACACCGGCAACGGGTGAGAAGGAGGAACAGGAGGAACAGGAGGCGCAGGAGGCGCAGGAGAAGCAGGAGGAGCAGGCAGCGCAGGAGGCGCTGGAGGCTGTGGTGGCTCTGGTGGGCTAGGTGGGACACGGGAGTACCATCAGTCCGCGTCAACTACAAAGATGGGCTTACGGGTAGGTTTCCTCTTGAACAAGAAATGAGTGCCAGAGAATTCCGCCATGGCTTCCGCAGCCAGGCAGGAGAGAGCAAGAATATGAATGTGAAAGTGAAAGAATTGGAGAAGAAATGAGGGTTTGGAGGGGACCCCTTCTTGTGTGCGGCTCGAGGTCCTCTTTAGGGATAGTCGGGTACCTTCCTGCCAAAACCCGCAGAGGAGGGAATCGCGGCACGTATCTGCTGCGCTGGCAGGGATATTCCACCCCCTTCTCGAAGGTTCGGGTGAAATGTTGCACCCTGGCAGCGCATGACATTCCTATTGGGCCGCACGGTGCGTTGCTCCGGGACAGGCTTTGTGCGGTGGGAAATCGAGTCGCGGCTGTTTTCGGCGGGATTTCATGCACGATCCCATGCGCACAGTACATGGTCGTGTTCGCCTTATCGAGGGCTTCAGTTTCGTACCTCTAAAAACAACAATCATTTTTGACATTATAAAAACGCCGGCGCTTATGGCCGTTACTCAATTACAAGCGCCACCCCTAAAAAAAATGAATTTATTATAAGCGCATATGCGCTTATATCCGGGGCTAGACGGTATTTTTGAGATGGTATCACGAGTAGGTTTAGAATCCTTGCCTAGCCTAGCGTAGCTCGCGCCCTCGAGCACTCCGCGCCCTAGCGTGCCTCCGCGCCTTACGCGCCCTCCGTCACGCGCCCTAGCGCCCTCCGTCACGCGCCCTAGCGCCCTCCGTCACGCGCCCTAGCGCCCTCCGCGCCTTACGCGCCCTCCGTCACGCGCCTTAGCGCGCCTCCGCGCCCTAGCGCCCTCCGTCACGCGCCCTAGCGCCCTCCGCGCCCTAGCGCCCTCCGTCACGCGCCCTAGCGCCCTCCGCGCCCTAGCGCCCTCCTCGCCCTCCGTATCGCGCCCTCCGCGCCCTCCGTAACGCGCCCTCCGCGCCCTCCGTAACGCGCCCTCTGCGCCTCCGCGCCTAGCCCTCCCCTACGCGCCCTCCACGCCCTCCGTATCGCGCCTCCGCTCAGCCCGTCGCGTAGCCCGTGCGCCCTGCCCCAGGCCGTCGCGTCGCCCGTGCGCCCTGCCCCAGCCCGTCGCGTAGCCCGTGCGCCCTGCCCCAGCCCGTCGCGTAGCCCGTGCGCCCTACCCTAGCCCGTCGCGTAGCCCGTGTGCCCTGGCCCAGCCCATCGCGTCGCCCGTGCGCCCTGCCTCAGCCCGTCGCGTAGCCCGTGTGCCCTGCCCCAGCCCGTCGCGTCGCCCGTGCGCCCTGCCTCAGCCCGTCGCGTCGCCCGTGCAGAGCAACGCACGCCCCTGCAGTGCAGCGCGCACCCACGTACAGGGCAGCGTGCGCCCTAGCAGAGCAGCGCGCGCCCCTGGCCAGGAACGCGCGCCCCTGGCCAGACATGCGCGCCCCAGCACCTCACGTACCTTCCTAGCCGCCCACACCTCCTCCTAACCGCCCACACCTCCTCCTATCCGCCCACACCTTCTCCTAGCCACCCACACCTCCTC